GAGTAAATTGTAGTGAGAATAAAAAATAATCAATTAAAAATATAAATTAAAAATTGTTTAATGATAATAAATAATTAAAAAATAATAAAATTATTTTATGTTAAAAATAGTTTTAAATTAATAAAAATACTATTTTTAAATTAATATAAATAATAGTAATATATCAAATGAATTTTAAATTGATAATAAAACATTTATATAAATTTATACTAATCTAAAATAATTATTTTTTTATTTAAAATAAAATTTTAAAAAAATTGCGCCTTATAGTTTGAAAGGCGAAAAAAAAACTTAAAAGCAAGGGGTAATTAGTAAAAAAGGGCTACGGTTGGAATGAGAAATCTCACCGAACCCCTTTCTATCTAGTAAACTTTTTCACCCCTAGTGCGATTATTTTGGGTGCAATCAGACCATCTTTTGTTATCCAAAATGTCTTGCACCATTGAGATTGGCCTAGAAAAAATGTATAATCGCATTGAAATGGTGTTCGATGCAATCTAAAATATAAATTTAGCGGTTGGGATATCAAAAGATAATTTCATAGTAACTAATTAATAATTTTATAGTTAATTATTGATAATTTAAAAGTAAATTAATAGAAAATAGTAAATTAGTGATAATTTAATAATAAATTATAAGATAATTTAGTAGTAAATTAATAATAATTTTATATTAAATAATTAAAAAATTAAGTAGTAAATCAATGATAACATAAGCTTAATATATAATAATAAAATGATAAATTCTTGATAATTTAATAGTAAATTATTGATAATTTAATAGCAAATTATAACTTAATATTAAATTACAAAATAACGTAATACTAAATTATTGATAACTTTATTATAAATAATGATAATTTAATAGTAAATTAATTAATTACTGATAATTTTATAATAATCATTGATAAATTCTATAGTAAATCCATTATAACTTATAATAAATTATCAATAATTTAGTGGTAAATTATCAATAATTTAATGATAAATCATTATAACTAATGGTAAGTCATTAATAAATAGTATAAATCATAGATAATTATTAGTAAATTATTGATAAATTAATAGTAAATCACTAATAATATAGCAGTAAATTAATGATAACTTAATTATTCATCATTGATAACATTTTATACTTAAAGTTATTAGTAATTGAATACTGGTTACCAGTAGAAATGAAACAAAACTTTAATCTTGGGGTGTAAGATAAATCTACCATGAACTTATTTAATAAAACAATTTAATAAAAGTTTAAATTGAATAAAGTAATAATGTTGTTATATAAAAAGGAAATTCTTTATATATTTTTAGTAGACTTTTTAAACTCTATATTTTATAGTTGTAAATGCATAATTATTTATTAGTAAATCAATGATAGGCTTAACAAAAAAAAAATGATAACTCATAGTTAATCATTGAAAAATTAAAAGTAAATCAATATAACTTAATAGTAAATTATCGATAATTTAATAGTAATAATAATAACTTAATAGTAAATCATGAAAAATTTAATGTAAATCAATGATAAATTGGTAGTAAAGTATGGATAATTTAATATAAAATCATATGATGATTTTATAGTAAATAATTAAAAAAACTAGGTTAAATAAATGATAACATAAGAGTAAATGATAATAAACATATTAATAATTTATTGATAATTAGTAATAAATTATTGATAACTTAATCTAGTAATCATAAATCAGTTAGTTGTAAATAATTATATTTTGTAATAAATTAGTTAATCATTAACAATTTTAAAGTAAATATCGATAAATTAATAATAAATAAGTTATAACTTTATAATAAATAATCATTAACTAATAATAAATCATTACATATATAATTAATAATAATTTAACTGTAAATCATATTGATAACTTTTTATATATTTGAAATTTTTAGAGAATTGAACTTTGGTTACTATAGAAATGAAACTAAAACTTTCATTTTTTAAGGCTTGGATAAACTTATTATGAACTTATTTAATAAAAAATTTATTAAAAATTTTAAATTTGAATGAAATAATAATATTATTATATAAAAAATAATCTTAGACTAGAACGAAACTCAAACTTTGTCATCTGTGATAATCGGTTTTTAAATTTATAATAATACAAATTTTATCAATAATTACCAAAAATATATCATAAATTGCCAAAATTATAAGAAATGTTACCAAAATTACACTAAGAGGTTCAAAAATTTTATAAAAAATTATCAAAATTATATCAATGGTTAAAATTTTATATAATAAGTTATCAAACTAATATTGAATATTATTAAAATTGTATTGAAAATTATTAAAATTTTATCAAAGGTTATCAAGCTTTTAATAGAAGTTACTAAAACATATAAAAGATAATCAAAATCAATATTATATTAAAAGTTATAAAATTTTACTTACATATTCCAAATCAAAATAAATTGTCAGCATTTATTATTATATCTAAAAAATTTATTTTTTAAATTAAAGTTTTATAAATAAAAATATACATGTATTATAGATATGTAAAAATTAATATATTATAAATGTACATCCCAAACAAATTCTGGACCTTTTTATTTTATACTCTTTCAACGTAATTAACTCACCTTTTGCAAATAAGATTACACCACATGAGTGGATCATACATGTATTGAATGGTGGTGGCCCTTCGATATTCACTAGGTGGTTTTCTGCCTTTGCTCGTTTTTAGTTAAAATTAGTATAAATTGTTGAATAAATGTTAAACTTAAAAGATAATTTTGTTCGAGAATTATTTTTATAAAAAATGTTTTATTGTTAAATCTATAAAGTGGGCATTATTTTTTATAAAAACTATTTTGTTGGTTGAGTATGTAAAGTGAGAATTACTTTTATTAAAAATATTTTGTTTTAATTTGATATGATTTATTCTTGTAAAGCTTGTCTGATCTAATCACAGGAGTGGATCGTTTTAACATTGGTCTCAAATTCAGACTTTTTTTTTACATACATTACTAAAATTTCATAAACATTTGTAACATATAGCGTTGGTTTCAAATCGCTAAAATTCTGTCACTGCATAAAAAAAATGATTAAAATTTTGGTGCTTGAAAAAATAGGATAAAAAAAGAAAACTTACATTTACGACTAAACCATCTAACGCCCAATTAACCTTATAACTCATACAACCCAAAACCCCAAAAAGTGCCAGCTGTCAATAGCAAAAGTGTTAGCTATACTTTTTACTTCTAATAGAATAGATTTGTTTTTTTTTTTTTCAATTTAAAACTTACATGAATATTCTAATTATGATCACTGCCAATTCTCTTCCCTGTTGGTGCTTATCATTATGACATTAATTATATTAATGAAAAATAGAAACAAATTAATGTGTGTAATTAAGGATATTATCCCCTTTTTTATTTTGAGAAAGGGAGATTAATTTGAACTTATTTTTTTGAACAGAAAATACATGCACTTATGTATCGTTGAGCCAAATGCGCCCATGCATGTATGTATTTTAAATTACCTAAATTCAAAGGTTTGGTGCATTGCATTCTGATTAAAAAAAAATGAAATATTAATATACAGTTTTCGTTCATTTTATATGTTTTGTTTCTATATTATGTGGTGTTGGCTGTTATTATTCATAACACTTTGGGCTTGGACAAGTATATTTGTTGTCATGATATGAAATTGAGAAGGTGTGATGGCATTTATTGGGATTTATATTTGCCGCCAACAGTATACTAGACTGACTTTAACATTTTTACAGGTTTATTAAATTTTAATTTTAAACTGATTAATTAACACTTCACTTTGTTAAGTAAATTTATGAAAATATAAAATGAAAGACATCTTGTTTGAGTGTCATGTTACTGTCTTTAAACAAATAATTTAGATATTATAAGGAATAGAAGTATTCATGGATCGATGTGATCCGGTTTAGATGGGAAATGAATATGATATTAATACTGTTTATGTTTTTTTCAAATTGAATAAGATTCAATGAATCAAATCTCACAATTTTAATTGTTAGAAACAAAAGTGTGACCCTTTGCACTCTTTTTGTTGCTAGAAAGAACAAATTAAAAAAAATTAGGCCAAATTATTATAATTTTCTTTTAAGAAATTTAGGCGAAGTATGAGTATTCTTACTCAACCAAATTCTTCTATACTTTGATATTTCGTCCTGCCTTATAATCACGCATTCAATCACAATCACAATCTACAACTTACAATTATGAACTTTATATAATATTTGATGTATTTTTTTATAGATTTAAATTTTAATTGATTAGTTTATTTTTTGAGCGGAAAAAGGTTTTTCAGTTTCGGTCGATATATTTTTTTATTGAGTTGATACAAATAAAGTTATAAAAGTTTTTTGTTCTAACGTTTTAAAAAATTCGAATTCAAACAATTAAGAGAGTAGAAAAATTTTTTTTCCACTTGAGCCAAAGTTAGTCTCTTTTATGGCAAGTGATTTAAAGTCTCATCAGTCTCAAGTTCTGCGTTTGTTAGTCTATTTTATGGCAAGTTTACTGCCTGGTTAGCAAGCGAATTACATCCTAACCAAATGGGGCCAGACCAGATTATCTGCAGCTGCTCATTTATTAAGCAAACGGCTAGCTTTTTTACACTGGCTTTATCAAAAACAAAAGAATCAGGCCAAGCTAGACTCACAATGAACAAACATGAACTATTGAACGGTATACCAATCACCTACTAGAAACTGTCTTTTCTCTTACTTTTAGTAGAGTCAGATTCTTTTTGTCAGTAAACGTTAAAAGCATGATTTATCGCCTTTTGACCCGATAATTTTTTGCATCTTTTCATGTTATTTCAGTTTTTTTTTTTCTTCTCGGATGAGAATTTTGGAGCCAGTCTCTTCAAATCGCTTGTCAACCGGGCTTTAAATGCAATTTGTCTTTTAGTACTTACCCCAATCGTCTATCACGTTAGACACAGATTCGTCCCCTCGGTTTTATCTCCTTTAAATGGAGTTCTGATCCGCAGAAAGCAGCACCGCCGAGCCGATTACTCAAAAAACCCACCTGTTTCCAGCACTGTTTTCTCTTCATCAACAACCATGAGCAACACTACTTCTAGCCACAACCATTCCCATTGTATCAATGAACAAGACCAAAAAGCCATCACAAACAAGCGTTATCTGCCACTTTTGTTGATCAACTATGCCTGCCTCTTTGTGGGTTCTTTATCCTCAAGCTTGCTCTCTAAGTACTATTTCAATCACAAAGGCTCAAGCAGATGGGTTTCAACTTGGGTTCAATCTGTTGGATTCCCTCTCCTTGTCATCCCCATTTTCCTTCCTTATTATCTATTTAAGTCCACTGAGAGAAAACCCTTCACTCATTTCACTCCCAAAATCCTAGCTTTGTCTATATTCATAGGCCTGATGCTTGGCCTAAACAACCTTTTTTTTTCATGGGGCAACTCGTATCTCCCTGTGTCCACCTCTTCTCTGCTTTTATCATCCCAATTAGTATTCAATCTCATTCTATCTGTAATCATCGTGAAGCAAAAGATCACTTTCATGAATCTCAACTGCGTCATCTTACTAACACTGGGTTCAGCCCTGCTAGCCTTAGAGTCCAACCATGACAGACCCCAGGGCCTGACCCGAGCCAAATACTTCATTGGGTTTATAGCAACCATAGGTGCGGGGCTGCTATTCGCACTATATCTTCCAATTATGGAGATGATATACAAGAAAGTCTACTGTTATGCAATGGTGATGGAAATGCAGCTAGTGATGGAGATAGCAGCGACTGCGTTAGCGAGCGTTGGGATGGCATGGGACGGTGGATTTGCGGAGATGAAAAGGGAGGGAAGAGAGGTGTTCGACAAAGGGGAGAGGGTGTATTGGGCGACGGTGTTGTCGAACGTGGTGAGCTGGCAGCTTTGCTTTATGGGGACGGCAGGGATGGTGTTCTTGACATGTTCGTTGACTGGAGGGATTTGCATGACAGCGTTGCTGGTGATGAACGTGTTGGGAGGGGTGTTGGTGTACAGGGAGGAGTTTGGTGGGGTCAAAGCTGTGTCGACTGTGATGTGTGGATGGGGGTTTTGTTCTTATGTTTATGGGATGTATGTTAAGAACAAGATGAAGCAATTGGATCCTGATCTTGATCACAAACAAATCACGAATATTTCTCCTCCCAATCTCATCCAAATGGATCAAATTGTAGCTCCTTCACCTCATCATAATGGGGTTTGAAACTGTTTTTACCCATTGATTAGAGTATATAATGAAATATTTTCATGTCCATTTTCAAGAATATAACCTATTCACTTAGCCTTAATGAACAAAACTTTTTTATTAACTTTGATGATTGGAGTGGTTGAAAAGTTATTTCCTTAAAGGGATAATGTAATCTGCCATCTGTCAATTAAAGGAAAATATAAAATGTGATACCTGCATTCAACTAAAAAGTGTTTAATCAAATACTTAAAATTTTAATCCATGTACAATTTATCCCATTATTTCTTAACACTGTTAATAGAAATTGGTGAGATGATCATTAGCTAATGAAAATTTTACACGTGTATAAATATTATATACTTGGATAATACGTGATTAATATAGATATATACATAATTGCCACGTGTTTATATTTTTTTAAAATATTAATTTAAAATTATAACTTAAAAGATTTACAAAAATTCAAAAATTATGATATTTTAAAATATTTTTAATAAAATTATGACATGAGCAGTCTCACTAGTGCCACATGATACATATCATCTATATATGCAATAGCTGTACATAATTAATAGTTGCTCAATCAAGATATAGGGTTAATATATAGAAAGAAATTAGCTTGCATTTATCCTCAGCCAAACCAATAATGGAACATATGCGAAGAAATTGTTTTTGCACTTAATATGCCAGGAAATTTATTTCGTATACCTATTGTGCATTAAATTAAAAAACTTTAAAGCTATAGAATGATTAAAAATGGAACTAAACATAATTTTAATTACGACCAACTGATATGATATAAAAATATACAAAAAAAAATTGTGAATGAATTTAGTGTAATTATGTTTCGTATTTGAATTGTATCAATATAATTAAGATACAATATTATTTGTACCATGTTCATATTTGTGTTAAATATTAATAACGCATTTAAAACACAATATTGTTCATAACATAAAAAAATTTTAAAATTATTTTAGTTTATTTAAAAAATAAATTAATAATCATTTTTATCATATCATTTTAGTGTTTAACTAGATTATAAATATTTAATTGTTAATTAGTTTTTTGTTTAAATACTAATTTAAATGATTTTTTTAAATAAATTAATTAATCATGTCTAATCATGTTATTTGTATGTAATTATATTAATCGTATCATATTATTTGAGTATTTAATTGTGTCTAATCGTGTTATTCGTATATAATCGTGTTAATCGTGTTGTATCATGTCATGTTAATTGGATATAAATTAATTTTAAATGTATTAATTATGTCATATTGCATGTAACACGTATAATAAATATATCATATTTATATTTGAATTATTTGTATCATTCGTATATTCGTGTCGTATTCATATCAAGAATGTCTAAAATTATGTTTGACATGAAACACGATATGATGATATGAATTATTAGGTCTAAATAGAACTAGAGACATCTAAAAAAAATACTAGTAGACACACCAACTTAGATAAAAATCTGTTTTTGGCTTATGAAAAAGATTTTTTTTTAGTATATGAAGTTATTAAAATTTGAATCCTAATTATTAAAATTAAAAATTTAATACTCCAATAATAAAATATGTGACTATTGACAAAGAAAGTATTTTTTCTATATCATAGAAGAAAGATATTTTTTAGTACAAAGATAAGCACAGCCCAATAATAGGAAACCACGTTTAATTGTGCTGTGATTTAAATTTTAAACATGTTGAATATCAACCGATGATAGTACGAACGACTATGAGAGTGAAGGTTCGAGTTATATTCAGCTAAGTCCGTGCATCCAATGACCAAGTTATGCTATCGTATGTATTTGAATTAGTTAAGTAGAAGCAACAGTCAAAGGTTTGGTTGTGACATCTGCATTCATCCTTATCCTGTTGAATTGTATGAGCTTCTTTCAACACTGTAATCAATTCCAGCTCCATTGCAACCTTTTCCATGGCGGGTCTTTTCTTTCCAATAAGATTCAAGCATCTTTTGGCAAGTTCAGTAAGTGCTATAATCTTATCCTGTGAACCATCTTTAATTACGCATTGATCAAGAATATCAAGCAATGAGTTCTCTTCCATTGAAAGGGAAAAACATGGTACCAAGGTTATCACTTCCTCTGTTTGGGTTGAAGAGATGAGAGGTGTTAAGAGCTCGACACAAGATCAACCCCGAAGCTATAAACATCAATCTTCCTTGTAAAATGGCTTGACTGGAAATATTCTGGATCCAAATACCCGAAGGTTCCCTGTACTTGAGTAGTGGCCAGATCACATTAGTTTGCTTGGATGAATCCGACACTTTTGCTCTGTATTTATCATCCAAAAGTATGTTGCTGGATTTTATGTCTCTATGATAAATAGGAGCCGAGCTGATGATTGCAAATATGCGAAAGCATTGGCAACTTCTGCTGCAATTCGTAGGCGCATCTCCCATGGAATTGGGAATGATTCTTCATTCTCCTCGTGTATATGTTGAGAGAGAGTTCCATTGATAATGAACTCATGAAGGACCTTGTGTCTCCAAGTACGGATTTAAATTGCGATAGTGATCATGTTTTCGGTCACATTGCGTTTGTCATGATTGTAGATATAACGGAGACCTTTGCAGTTATTGTGATTATTGCAATCGTAAAATTTTTTTTAATTTGCTATAAAAAGTAATAATTTTAATTATTAATAATAAAAATTTTTATTTTATGATTTTTAAAGTAATTTATATCATGTCATGTGTTTTATTTATTTAAGAAAAATATTTATAGTAAAATACTCATATTTATAAAATTACTCATATGATAATTAAAAAATAACAAAAGATAAATAAACATGTGAAAAATAAATAATCATAATGAATGATATATTTAATTATTTAATTACCGTACTCATCAAATTATTATCAAATTATATTACGCATAAATCAGCTAACAAGTGATTAGATATTCATAAATTAAACAAGAGCATTACTATTTATGAGCCAAGAGAATTACTTTTTATGGGCTTATAGTAATCAAACTTGGCAACCTCCATGGTGAGGGCAATATTCAACAACAATAGCTTCAAGTCTACTTTCTCTATTTCTTGACTAAATTGCATGGACCCACAACTTCTCATCCCCTCACTTTGCATTCAATAATTTTTTTTTTAGACCTTCATCTTTATCTCAACTCTCTTTTTTTTTTTGGTGTCTCCTATCTGCTCGTCTCCCTCAATATCAAGTCTCACTTTCATCTCTTATCTCTCATTTTAAGTCTCGATAATTCCGTGCATCATAGCCCAATTTAATCCAAAATACACAAAACCACTGCAAAATTGAAAATTAAAAAAAAATGCAATTTGGGTGCTGAATTAATTACTTACATTAAATTGTATGTACTTGATCTTGATTGAGGTTAAATTTGAGAGAATTGATATTTTTAAAAGTTTAAGTTTTGTAGGTTTTTTTTTCCAGAATTTATGAATTGATGTTTATTTTCTGGCTTATTGTTTTTATTTTAAGTTTTTAATCAAAGTCAAATGAAATTTTTTTTTTTTGAATTTTAGAATGAAAAATGGAGTAACGGGTAATAACGGATCGCTATTGCCGCTATTCAACGTTACGTCGCAATTTGTGATCGTGATACGTCGCTATAGATGAGATTCAAATTTTCCTTCATTTTTTCTTCAATAACGGTGATGAATGATAACGCTACCGTGAAATAACAGACACTATACCATTATCCGACCACTATTTAAATCCTAGTCTCCAAGCAACATCCTGTCTACCGACAGTCTATGTTCATTGGTAGAATACTGCATTCTTAGTTTTAGTAGTGAGAGTTCAATCCCTAATAACTTAAGTGCTAAAAAACAACTTAACTACGTTTCTATTGTTAATTTGTGATGAAATTATTATCTGATTAATGAATTCCTGAAGTTTCTTTTCACCTAATTTCTTTCCAATACCCACCTCTTTAGGTTCTTGATAGCAACAATGCTTCCATCTGCCAACATTCCATTATGACAGTTCTTTGACCTCCTTGGCCAAGGATTGGGTTCTCATTAAAGTTGACAGTGAAATTGTCCAATTCCTCTGATGTAAACAATCTTTTTAGTTCCACCGATTCCAACTGGATAGAGGATACTAGCATAAACACGTCTATCAGCTGAACGATATGGTTGGCCTGCCATTTGTGGTTTTTGCGGTGGTCCTGCTTCTGTAATTAGGCATGGTTGCAACAGCAAAAAATTACCAACAAAACTACAAAGTGAACAGCCTATATATATGGAAAAGATGAGAATTTAAATATCACCGTTATTTTTAATTTTATCATCCATTCAGATGGAGAGATATACCTTAAACTTTGATCGCAACTTTGGAATCTTATAAACTCATTGCTAATTTCCTATGGATGTAGGGATTTTATCATACCAAAATGCATTTATTTATTTTCCCTAATCACAGGTGAAACACACACAACAAAGTAATACAAACGCATGCATTTGGAAAAGATGCGTTGAGCTTCTCCTTTTGTTTGTCTCTAATTTTGTTGCACCCCGCCCCTCTTTCTCTCTTCAAAAATAAAAGATGATCAACCACAATCTAAACATTGTACAAAACATTTTAAGTTCAAATTCAAGACAACAGGCAATTAACTTCAATAACTAAAACGATAATGTTGATATACATAGTTAGGATAGATAATTATAATCTTAATTTTATCTTTACTTGAAGTTGTCAATGTAAATCTCCTTATGTAAAATTGATTTTAATAAATTAAATGTGCTTTTCACTCATGTTAAGCAAGTGAGAAATTCATCATTTAGCCAATAATATTAGTAAAATGTTAAACTCTTAATTTTAATAATTCTAATTCAATTTTTGACAACCTTAATTACCAAAAAAATATCTTTTATTTATTTTTTAGCCAGTTTAATCTCTATTTTAATTAGCAAGAATTTTAGTTAAAAGTTTTAATTTCAAAATCATATACTATTTTTTAATTTAATATATTTTTATTGACAAAAAATTTTTTTGGAAGGAACTTTTTTAGTTTAATGAATATCTAGGTAAGTTTATTCAAGTATATTTAAAAATCTTTTCTTTTCTTTTTTGCAACATAATTTATTTAAAAAGGAAAATCATTTGTATTTCAGGATCTTATACTTATTATATTTTCTATCATGTGTAGTTTTGTAAATGATTACATTTGTAAATAGTGAACAATCCCAAACTTGGAAAAATACGAAAAATATCAGACGATGAAGCAGTGGAAGAGTACTTATTAAATAGTGGTAATAGGAGAGTCAGCCGTTGGAAAATCCAAGCTTCTCTCTCGATTCGCAGGAAACGAGTTCAATGCTCACTCTAAGGCAACCATTGGGGTGGAGTTTCAGACCCGGAGCGTGGAAATTGATGGCAAGGAAGTAAAGGCTCAGATTTGTGACACTGCAGGCCAAGAACGTTTTCGTGCTGTTACTTGAGCTAGCAGGAGAGCTGCTTTTTATAATGTTGCTCGATGGCTAAATGAACTCAATTGTAAGTACTTTTTCTTGCTCTGGATTGATGCTTGATATTACAATAAAATGTGGAAGGAGTCCCTGCGAACCAGCGGGAAAGGGGTAGGCAATCTGGATTTTACATGTTATATATATATATATATATATATATATATATATATATATATATGAGCAATGTTCCTTATTTCATATTGGTTACAATATCCTCAAAATCTGATGATCATGGAATAAACTTTCATCACATTCTGACACAACCAGGGCAAGGATGCTGGTGGGAAACGAATGTGATCTGGAAAATATCAGGGAAGTGAGTTTGGAAGAAGGTAAAAAGCTTGGCAGAAGCAGAAGGATTATTTTTCATTGAGACATCTGCACTTGATTCTACCAATGTCAGGACCGCTTTTGAGATCCTCATCAGAGAGATCTATAACGATGTGAGCTGAAAGTCTTGAATTCTGATTCAGACAAAGCTGAGTTAACTGTCAATGGTGTAAGCCTTGTGAATGGTGATGGCTTAAAGCAAACTCAGACCCAGTACTCACGCTGTTCTAGATAAGATTCTGTTTCAATATTTGATACAATTCCAAGTAAAGGGTCCTCAGATTACTGTCTTTTTTCCCTTGCATGTCTTTTATCCAATTTGACTGAATGAAATTCGAAAACTTTTAGTTGCCTGCCGATTCTCAGTATTTTTTTTTGGTATAAGGGTAAAACAAAAGTATTCAAATAAAAATTCAATAATTATTTAAGTTTATAATATTTTATTACAATTAATCAAGTTTTGAATATTTTATTTTAAAATAAATTAAACACTTAAATATTTATTTTCATCAATTGTACTTTTATAGATCTATTTGCACTCAATTAAGCTCTCAATTGGATGAAAATAGTTAATCATTTTTCTTTTAACAATAGCTTAATTGATAAAAATAGATATTTAAGGTTTAATTAATTGCAAAAAAAAAAAAAGTAAGATGATTATTAAAATTTAGTTCAGTGATTTTTTTGACTCTCTAACCTAACTGGCTTATATACGTGACATTTTATTAATGTTATCAAGTTATAATGACATCACAAAACTTTCATTTTTTTTTCAATATAAATTAAAAAATTTTATTTTTTTTATTTGGAGCCAAGTTCGAAAAATTGTTGGATACTAGGTGGTAATCACATGGAATTTCACAAAAGATTTAGCATATTTAGTTGCAAATGATATGCATATAGCACAATTATACTAGATAAATATTATATATGTGAGTTAGATTAATAATGTTAGAATTTGAGTTCATATGATAAAATATTTAAAAGTTTAATGTGTAAATTATATATATTTTTACTACATTTGGTTAAAATTCAGTATTAAAATTGTAATTAACTTTATAGAGATATACAATTAAGTTCATTTATATCCCAAACTATTTTGGATTTATAGAGATATACAGTCAAGTGATGGATATTTGAGTATTAATAACAAAAGTTTGTTTTATTTGGGTTTTATATGTGGGCTGAAGTCCCAAGTCAAAAATAAAGTGAATAGTCTTATTTGATTTTAGCTGAACAACGAACTCTTCCAATGGAAATTTGGTTTGAAATTGGATTTATTTTTTATTTTAAAATTAGGGTTAGATAAATTATTTTGTGTTTTTAATAGGGATAAGATATATCATATTTAATAATTTAAAATAAATAATTATAAATTTTATATTTAAAATAATTTTAATAAATAATTATCTATAAAATTCAAATTTAATATTTTTACATGAAAAAAAATCAACTTTAACTAATTGAGCCAACGAGCTAATATTTACTGAGTTACTCCGCAATATGCCTTTTTAACACTTCGTTCAATTTTAACTTTTTTGAAATTATGAATATATAACTTACCTATATCCTTTATCTTAATTAAAATCGTGACACGTGGACATCTGTTTCTTTGCCCGTAATATTCCATCCATTTCCAACTCTTCATCTGAATCGTTTTTTTATTTTTTTTTTAAGCAAACCATTTGAATAGTTTTTTTTTTTTTTTTTTTTTGAAAAAGGAAGGGCTTATGGCGTTTTGAAGAACTGACAGGGGGAAGTTTTTGCAATTATTATGCAAATGTCGATGAAATCAATTCAAGTTGAAGGAAAACCCGAAAAGAATTTGGGATTTCAGATTTAGTTCTAGCGATTGAATCGTGTAAGTAAGTTAACTTTCATTCTTTTAATGTCGATGAAATCAATTTATTTAACTGATTTTTTTTTCCTCGATTAACTTTCTTTTCTCATTTTCTTTTCTTTTACATATTCTTTCTCATTTATCTTCTCTTTCTGTTTCAGAGTAGATATTTTCACATAAACGCAAAAGATCAGATATGGTTTTTTTATCTTCCTTTTCTTCCCATTTAATTTTTTTTTTTAATTTCCTTGTTTGTATACCTTGTCTGAAGTGTTCAAATTCGATTGGAATGTGATTTTTTTAATCCTAATTCGTTAATTTCATAATGGGTTTCTTCTATTGTGGATTGATTATAATTAAAGTTAAGTTCTTTAGGCTTTTGTACTATTATCCTTATATCTTGAAGCTACAGACCGCAATCTACCAATATTGGATATTCCAACAATTCATGTTGTATCCATTGCAAAGTTTTAAGATTGTTATTTCTGTTTGTGCTGCAGGAACTCATTAGCTAAATCCAGTGGAATGCCTATATAACTCCTATAACAAAACTCAATTCGGTAGAGGTACCATGATCATTTAATATAGATTGTTTAATATAGAACTATAACTTTTCCTTTCAATATATTAATCCATCAATTAGCATTTTTGTGATATTCTTTTTTCATATATTCATTTATATATTCCGTTCTTTCTTTCTGTTAAATTTCCTTTATAATCTAATTATTTTTATGTTATTCTTAGAATAATATTTTTGTTATTTTTACTGTTATTCTAATCCTTCTTTTGTTTAGCCATGAGTAAACAATGGCTTAGATTTAGTTATCATCTTGATAGCTAAACACTGGCTCAAGTTTGACTATCATTCTGACTAAAAATTAGCCTGACTTAGCTATCATTTACAGCAAATATCTACCTTGCTTCCTATCTATGTTGTTTTTTAATAAAACACTGATATCTTATCTAATAAGAATACGATTTCTTACTCAAGTTTAATTGGAAGGTTTGAGGTTACAAATGCCATAGATAACTTTGAAGAGTGTCTGACTGTGCGTGGTTTGTTAGTTTAACTAAGGATTTGTTTTATTTTATATTTGGTAAGTAGGATGACAAACTTACATTTAACCTTAATGAATAAGCATATGTTTTATGTTATATCATTCATGCTGTATTTATCAAAAGTTATATAGATTTTGGTGATTAATACACTTTTGCATCTAACATTTGAAATGCAGATAATTAAGAAACTAATACCTAAGTTCTATAGTAGTTATTAAAGTATCTTGCATGTGTATTGTCATCATCGAATTTAATTAAGCCACAATAGCAAATAAAAAAATTAAACCGTTGTTGACAGAAAATGTTTTTTATTTTTTCCTTTTGAATGGCTATTATGTTGAATTAAATCTGTCTATTCCAATTGTTAGGTAAGCATCTCTTCAATCCATTTACTTTGTGCATTTCATGAATTTTATAGAGATTTTTATATTGATTTTGATTATGAAATATGTCCCGCTTTTTAGAACTATTTGTAACTTATTATTTTAAATGAAAATGTACTTGTCTCTCCTTACGTATCAATTAAAATGTAAACTCTTTTCATAATTGTTGAAATTATTACACATTTTATTTTCATTTCTTTCTTTCAAATGATAGAAGTTAGTATACTTCAACTGTTATGCAATGCGTTTGTTTATGACAACCTTTCCTTACTTTCAAACCATACACAGTGATGTTAATGCTCTTATGATAATATGGACTATAGATTTGTTAAAAAAAAAAGATTTTTCTATAACTGCCATGTGTTTTTAAATCTATAGTTGACTTTGACGCTTAATTATTTAGAAAGAGATATGTACATGTTATTGTCAAATCCCATATTTTAAAGTTTCATTTCAATCGAATACTAATTCTTATAAATACTGATTCTGCCTTTGCAAAAATTATCTGATATCTAACAACAATGAAACCAAGTGCTTCTCTACAAGTAATGAATTCCTTATATAGAACTATATTGGAATAAATTTGTAATCTTTAAAATTTTTGACAACATATAGATTAGTTTTTTTTACCTGACACCAAATAATACTATGGTCCATGTTATGCTAAATTGTTGTTTTTGCATATCCTTTTGGTTAGTCCTTCTATTCTGTTAATGTTTTTCTTTAGGAAACTTATTTGTTTTGATTTCAGTAATTGATTGTAACCAAACCCTCTGCCTTATGCTATTCAAACAATTGGTAAGAAATGTTATTAATGCTGCAGATTAGGTAGTTATATGCTAAATATATCCTTTCTCCTACACTTTGTTAAATTTACTGCCAAAATCTTGTGTTGTAACAAAACGATAATGAATCAGTTTGCTTTTATGTCATTTAAAAGCTGTTGATTTTCACTTTATATCTTTGATGGTTTCTGTTTGGTTGCTTAGGAAATCAGATGGAACTAAAGAACAATACTAAATATTTTGATATTTCCCATGTTTGATGTTTGGATGAGGAAGAATTCATAAAACTCATGTTTTTCTTTATGGGTATCATTTGTTTTTTCTTTTCTTTAATGATTTCAATATTTGTTGGGATCTAATTTCCAAAATGTATATGTAAAGCATCCGGTGCTAGGGACTGTCTCTTTGAGTGTAGAAACTAAGGATTTGAAATGGATATACAATGTTTATTAAGTTGGTAATTGTGTATATATTTTGGGAATTATTGGATTGTTAAGCTCAAGATGCTATTATGTACTGATTATGGCGAAAATGTTTATGGTGTCATACTATGAGAACGAATTAATGCTTTGATTTTATATTTAAGTTCGGCAAATAAAAAGTTTTATTTCGATAGGAAGGATTTATAAGAACTATTTGATGTTGCAAATAGATAATTATATGAATTATTTTTTACAAATGGATAATTATATGAATTATTTTTTACTTTCAATCATTCATTCTATGTCTTGACAAGAATCTATGAAAATAATAATACGAAAAAAAAAAATTAAGAATCACAACAACGTACGAGATGCTATAAAATATATATATATATATGTATACATATATATATATATATATATATATTATATGGGATGGACCATAATGACAAAGATAAAAAAAAAAATAGGAGTGAAGTAAGAAGATGCTTAAAGTGTTGCTAAACCAATATGCTATTATTTATTTATTTATTTTATTACATTGATGATGTATCAAATATTAATTCTTTCTTTAAATACTTTATTTGGTTCTTTTATTTGACTTTCTCACTTTTCTTTCTTGTTGAATTGGACACAAGTAAAATATTTTTTTTGATCACGATGATTCCTATTACTGTGATCATTTAGGATGAAAGTTTTTCAATTTTTTTTTTTAATATTTATAACTATCAAGAATTAAATTTTAGTTAAAATTCAATATTCTACTAGAATAAAGCATCATTGTCGACAATGAAAATTTTCTTTTATATATATATATATTTGAAATTATTAAAAATTGAATTCTCATAACTAAAATTTAAAATTTAATATTTTATGTTGTAATGATTTTGAGACTGTCAAACGTAAAAGATAATGTTTTAAAATCGAAAAAAATAAATAAAAAGTGTGAGTCGTCACTAATCTTTGTTAGGATTTGATTGGTCATCCAAAAATTTATCTTTTTAATAAAACTATAAAAACGGATTAAAGTTTATCAAAAAGATAATTTTGGTCTACGAAAAATTAGGTTGGGTCCGAGAGTCGGTTACGCATTGAGAAGGATTAGCACCCCCATAACGCCCATAAATTGGTACCATTTAATTACGTGTTATTTTTGGTGTTAGATAAAAATGATTTTAATTTGAAATTTAACACTAATTCTCTTCACTTAAAAAAATAAAATTTTGCTAAAATATTTATTTAGAACTATTAAGAAAATCTTTAAGTTAAAGAATTATCTTAAAATTCTCCATCGTCTAAGCAGAATTTAAAATAACTCTTTTCGCTTAAAATTTAACACAACAATCCTTAAAATGAAATAGCACTCTTTATAGAAAATTGTTGGTGACTTTCCAACATATAGACAGAGTACCAAGAATTATTTTTTTCGGAATGTTATTTTTATTTTATTTTGTAATATCATAATTTTTTTAAAAAGTAGTACAAATAAAAATTAAAGATAGAATAATACAAATAAATACTAATAATAACATGCTAATGTGTGAATGTCAATGAATTTATGTAAAATGAAATGTAATTTAAAAGTTGGATTCTTAAATATAATGAGACCACCCTAACTCTTCAACATCTAGGCAAAGCTTAGGTGCGACTGTTTATATTTAAAATCTCAATTTACTATTATACTTTTTATTTATTAATCTTATTGTTGATGCAAATTAAAAAATCGTGTGAAAAGACTTAACGAAGTAAAATTTCCTAAATACCCCATCATCTAGGCGGCATTCGGGAACAAATTGCTTCAAATAGAATTTTCACACGTGTCCTTAGGATTTTTAGGAGTTTGGATTTTAAAGGGTTTGAGTAGAGGTTTTGAAAGTTTGGTTATATGGTTTAGAGGGTTTTAAAGCTTGAATTTTAGGATATGGAAGGTTTAGGGTTTTGGTTTTAGAGTTTGGAGATTTTATGGTTTGGATTTTGAGGTTTGAGGTTTTGATTTAAGGGTTTGGATTTTAGGGATTTTGGATTTAGGGGGTTTAGGTTTAAGAGTTTAAAAGTTTGGGATTTTGGATTTTAGGGGTTTTGGATTTTAGGGGGGGTTTAGATTTAAGGGATTTTGGATTTTTAGGGGGTTTGGATTTTAGGGATTTTGGATTTTTAAGGGTTTTAAAAACTTAGGATTTTGAAAATTAAAAATTAGTGTTTAAGGTTTAGGTAAAACGCAAACATCTCTAAAAATTCCCATCATCTAGGCGGATTTTCAGAGCAGGTTCAATTTTTTATAATTTTTGAAAACTAATTAAAAAATTCTTATGTTTTTTTTTTATGAAAATTTATTAATAATAATTCTCCAACATCTAGGCGAAATTATTTTTTAGAAAAATATTTTTTATTCCCTCCAACATCTAGGCAGAGAAAATAATAAAAATTATTATCACTTCTTTGAGTATTTTTAATACATATTTTTAGTTATTACTTGTTTTTAATTTTATTATTATTAAAACAATTAAACATTTATTTTAACAAATTTAAAAATTTATCATGCATAAATAAAAATATACTTAAAATAACAAAAATAATAATATATGAAAAAAATTAGAAAATTAAAAAAAAAAAAATTTTTTTACCTGAACTTGACCGGTCAATGATCCGATCAATGACCGGTTCGACTGGATCAAAAAGGGGTCGGTTCGGCGTGTGGTTTAGTTGAGCGATCTACGGTTCAGATCGACTCAGACCGGTTCACTGGATCGATTCAAGGTTGGCTGAAACGGGTTGGTGGGTCGGTTTATGCGGATCTCGGGTCGGATCCGGGTCCACGGGGGGATCCTTCTTGGTTAAAACGATGTCGTTTTGGGTCTTTTCCTAAACGACATCGTTTTTGAGTTTTGCTTTCCTATATATAGCTACAGATTTTTTTTTTGGTTCATTATTTTTTGTTTCAGAAAAAAAAAAGAAGAGAAAGCGCGAGAGAGAGCTCTGGGGGGAGAGCTCCGGTCGTCTTACCATCCGGTCGCCTGAGCACTGCGTCGACCGTGGCCTGGTCCACCGTTGCCGGTGGTCACCGGTGGTTGAAAATACCAAAACCTTTCCAGAAGCTCCTTTCAATGAGATCTTCCCAGATCTGAAGTCCGTTTTACCAGAAACAGCCCCGATCGACGTAGATCGTGGCTTGAAGCTTTCGATTTCTTTTCCTTCTTTTTTTTTTTTTTAAAGAAACTGATGATTTCTTTGCTTTTGCAGGAAGCTTAGCGCTGAGGTTCCTATCTACGGGGATGACTATTTGTCTTTGGTTTTTGTTTCTGTTTTTGCATTTCTGTTTTGGGTATTTTGGGGGGTGTTTGGGGTTGTTGAAGGAAGAGTTTTGCTTGGTGTTTGAGCTCGAAACGAGAGGGTGCTGAGAGTAGTATGTTCGAAGGCTTATTTTTTTTAGAGGGGGGTTAGAGAGAGATTGAAGGGGATTCCCAGAGAGAGATTGAAAGGGATTATGGTTGGAAATTTTAAAGGGCTTCAATTAGGGGGATTTAGGTGGTTGTAGGGTGGTTGTAGATGGGCTAAAAGGGAGCTGCTCAGGGGGCTTCAATGGGCTGACAGGGGGCTGTAGGGTGGTTGCTCTGGGGTGGGAGCAGCGTCAGCCACCCTACATTCTGTTTTTCTATTTCTCTTTTTATTTTTTTATTTTTATTTATTATAATTAATAATTATTTAAAAAAACTATTATTATTAATATTATTATTAAAATTAAAACAGTAGACTTGGACAAAACCAGTGTCTATAGCTGCCCCTCTTTGCACATTACTGAGAATCAAGAATAGGGCAAAGATAAAGACAACGATTTTGTCCGAAAGTAAATCGTGATTGACTTTTTTTTTTTAAAAAAAACACAAAACGATTGGGATGATACTGTAAGTTGAAAAATAATGAATTGATCGAGATAATATCGCGAATCGAATTTATATTCGAAGATCTTACAAATCATACCCAGAGGTCTTACAGAGTCGATTGGAATAATACTGTAAGTTAAAAAATAAAGAATCGATCGGGATAACACCGCGAATCGAATTTATGCCCGGAGGTCTTACAGAATCATGCCCGGAGATCTTACAGAATCGACTGGGATAACATCGCAAGTCAAAAGATAAAGAATCGATCGGGATAACACTGTGAATCGAATTTATGCCCGAAGGTCTTAAAAATCATGTCCGGAGGTCTTACAGAATTGTCCGAAAGTCTTAGAAATCATGCCCGGAGGTCTTACAGAATTGACTTGGATAACACTACAAGTCAGAAATAAAGAATCAATTGGGATAACACCACGAATCAAATTTATGCCCGAAGGTCTTAGAAATCATGTCCGAAGGTCTTATAGAATCATGTCTGGAGATCTTATAGAATCGATTGGGATAACACCATAAGTCAAAAGATAAAGAATTGATCGGGATAACACCGCGAATTAAATTTATGCCCGGAGGTCTTACAAATCATGTCTGAAGGTCTTACAAAATCATGTCTGGAGGTCTTACAGAATCATGTCTGGAGGTCTTACA